CCACAGGCTCACCACTCTCTGGGTGAAGAAACTTCTCCTCATCCCAGTCCTAAATGGTTAACCTCAGAACCTTCAACTGTGACCCTCAGGTCTGGCTATTCCCCCGCCATCGGGAACATCCTTGGTGCATCTACCCTGTCTAGTCCTGTTAGGATTTTGGAGGTTTCTATGAGGTTCCTCCCCAGCACCTCCTCATTCTGCAGCTCAGTTTGTTGCTTCTTGAACTGTGTTGAGGTTCAATGGGTCACTGCAGCAGTCTGAGGGCAGAGAGGTCAGAGTGGAAGTGAGGGGGAGGACTACAATAGCAGGTGTCAGGGGGCTCAGGGCTCTGCTTGCAGACCGAAATAGGGTACCCCACAAGGGAAATACCCAGAATGCATAGGGATGACTGCATTATGGGTAGCAATTAAAGGATACTGCATTCAAGGCAGTGTAACTATGTCACAGGGAAGGAATGGTTGGGATGTCACGGTTGGGGTCTTGAATGTTGAGAAACGGGTAATTGATCCATCTCCTACAATCTTTTTTTATTCATTCACGGGATGAGTGTGTCACTGGCTAGATCAGCATTTATTGCCCATCCCTAATTGCCCAGAGGGCAGTTAAGAGTCAACTACATTGCTGTGGGTCTGGAGTCAGATGTAGGCCAGACCAGGTAAGGATGGCAGTTTCCTTCCCTAAAGGATATTAGTGAACCAGATGGGTTTTTCCAACAATTGAAAATGGATTCATGGTCATCATTAGACTCTTAATTTCAGATATTTATTGAAATCAAATTCCACCGTCTGCCATGGTGGGATTCAAATCCCCAGAACATTATCTGGGTCTCTGGATTAACAGTCCAGCAATAATACCACGAGGCCATCACCTCCCCATCTTAGGCCCAACCATCTTCATCAATGACCTTCCCTCCATCATAAGGTCAGAAACGGGGACTGTAGTGATAGTAACAAGGTCAACCAGGTGGACCTCATAGAATATGAGTTCCCTGATTGGGGCTGTTAACTTGGTCTAATCAGGGAGCCCTGGCTGACAGGTATAAACAGGAGTGTCACCTCTGTCAGCTGGTTCTGAGGGAGCTGGATCAGTGTTAAGGGTGACTTGGTGATGGGATACTGGCCTCTGCGGAGATATTTCGGAGACGTTCGCTGATGACTGCATAATGTTCAGCACCATGTGCACCTCCTCAGCCACTGAAGCAGCCCATGTTCAAATGCAACAAGATCCGGACAATATGCAGGCTTGGGCTGACAAGTAACATTCACATCACCCAAATGCTAGGCAATGACCAACTCTAACACAGAGAATCGAACTATTGACCATTCAAAAGCATTACCATCACTGAATCCCCCACTGTCCGTGTTGTTCGGGTTACCATTGATCAGAAACTCAACAGGACCTGTCACATAAACACAGGGTCTACAAGAGCAGCTCAGTGGCTAAAACGTCTACAGTGAGTAACTCACCTTCTGACTCCCCAAAACCTGTCCACCATCTACAAGGCACAAGTCAGGAGTGTGATGGAATACTCCCAACCCGCCTGGACGAGTGCAGCCCCAACAACACTCAAGATGTGCAACTCCATCCAGTACAAAGCAGCCCATTTGTTTGGCAACATTCAACCTTCAACACTCACTCCCATTCTCACCGATATGTTGCAGTAATATGTACTAGCTACAAGATGCATTGCAGTAACTCACTGAATTCCTCTGATAGCACCTTCCAAACACATGATCTTCGCCATCTAGAAGGACAAGGGCAGCAGATACAGAACGCCACAACCTGCAAGCTTCCCTCCAAGCTGCTCTTGGAAATACATCACCGTTCAGTCACTGTCGCTGAGTCAAAATCCTTGAACTCCCTCCCTAACAGAGCTGTGTGTATACTGACATCTCAAGAACTGCATTGAAGGAGGAAGTTCAACACCACTTCCTCAGGAGCACTTGGAATGGGCCATAAATGCTTGACCATCCAGAGACACGCAAACCCCATTAAAGAATAGTAACACAGAAATGTTGGGCTTAGCTGCTTTCCTGAAATGCTGCAATCCTTGGGGTTTCAGAATACCCACAACACTGTTAGGGAAGGAGCTCCTGGATTTTGAATGAGCAACAATAAATAAATAACATCGATGTACTTCCAAGCCAGGATGGTGAGTGACTTGTATCCATTCTAGTAAATCTCTTCTGCAGCTTCTCTAGGATCCCCACATCCTTCTGAAAATGTGGATATCAGAAGTGGTACAATATTCCTGTCATGCCCTGCACATTGCTTTGTAAATTTTAGCATAATATCTCTGCTTTTGAAATCAATATCCTGTATGAAGTCCAAGATCCTGTTCTCCTTGTTAATTGCTCTCTGGGTATGTCCTGCCATCTTCAATGTTCCATGGACTTGAAACCAAATCCCCACCAAAACCCTGTCCCCCTTCCGCCCCCACCACAGCCCTCTGTTATAGCACACTCTTTGGAACTGTGCCAACAAACCTACATTGCCTCTCCCTGTCCTTAAATTATATCTGCCAGCTATCTGCTCATTCTACCCGACTAGATCACTGATATCATCCTCACTTTGAGCCATACTTCCAAGTTTGGCATCATTGGCAAATTTCTCTTTGTGTTTATAAAGTAAAGTTGCCATTGTCCCATGCATTAGAGAGAGACAATGAGTGAAGTTTTAATCTGAGGAGCACCACACCTCAAGTAATGGGACTGGTTGAGAAGGAAAGTCTTTCATGGTAACCTCATCTGGTACAGGAATTGGACCTGCACTATAGGCTTCACTCTACATCTCTAACCAGTCACTCAACCAACTAAATTTAAACTGCATTTAAGTATCCAAATGGTTTGTACGTCAAAAGAAGCAGTGGCCCTAGCATTGAGGATCTTCTACATTTATTACTGTCTTATTATGAACCACAAGGGAGTTGAATAGCTGCTTGGATGTTCAGCCTTTTCTGACCATTTCCTCTGGATAACAGGTCCTCATGCTCACAGTTAAATTTAAAAGCATAGGGACACAAAACCAGAACCAACCCTTCCAAGTCCCCTTTGCTAGTCTCACTTAAATACCCTGTTGATGTACTGACCATGTGGTGATACGATTCTGGGCAATTGAAAGTAGTTACTGTCATTGGGAGCATCCTGTTGAAAGCATTAACTCGGTGGTTATCTCTGGAGTGGGAGAGTGTGGAGAAGAAACATACTGTCTGGCACCATTCCACCGGCAGATTGGAAAAGCAAGTTGACTTGAAGCCTATTCTACTCATTGTGGCAAAACATTGAGGCTGAATCGAACTAACAGTTTCTGAATTTACAGTTTACCACTTATTGGAAATGTCTTCATGTAGTGCGACAGTCTCTCAGTAGATGGGTTACCATATACCTATGGCACTACTGGGACTGAATGACATTGCCCATAACATATAACAACAGAGGCTGTTAGATACCAGGCAAACACACTCTGCATTTATCACCAACATTATCATCCGCACTTTAATGGAGGCATGGCCCATTGGAAACAGGTAAAATCTGTCTTGAATTAAAATGGCAGACATGGGTGCACTGTTAAGTGATCATCAGGCCAAGAGTATCCAATATTTAGCTGTTAATGGGATTGTAACCCAAGTCTGCACATAGCCCTTATGGCCTAGTTCTGCAGCTGGTAGAGTTACATTCATTTGATTTAACATAAACCACAGCTAAAATGTGACCGAGAAATGACTGGGGGCTTTCTATCTGGTGTCCATTTTGCATGCAGGTGGAGCATTCTGCACTAATTTACCATGTAGATCAGAAATATTCAGCTGAATGAAACCTTTCCATTTTACTGCAAAAAAAAATCAATATTCTAAATCTGAGAAAAGGATGCTTTAAAATACCCAGGTCTATGAGCTAGCAACATGTGGAAAACCGTGTTTGATCTTTTTAAGAACTGTTCCTTCTTATTGTGTCTGAGTCCAATTCAATATTGGAAGATTCAATATCTTTTTCCAACATTAGAAACTGCTCCATTGATTAAAAAGGGCTTACTCACACTCTACTGGGGCCCATAGCCTCTAACTCTATGCTGTCATGCATTGGATTTTTTTTTTCAAATGCCTGGTCAGAAAACACTTATCCTCACAGTACATCGAAAAATATAAGTGTCAACTCGGATATAAACCTGTTAGTGAAACAGAATTTAAGACACCTTTTCCTTGCGGATAGAGTTTATTGATTCTCAGTTACACAGCTCATTCCACACCCTGGACCACACATTCCCCCTGTATACGTACTCAGTAACTTAATTCATCAGTTCATCCATTCAGTAGCTCAGTCCTTGCTATACAGACAACAGGGAAAAGAAATTGCCGTGTCTGGAAATTAAGACGCCAATCCTTAAAATAACCTTCAACTTGGTACCGAGGTGTCCAATTCAAATGTTCACACATGCATAACCTTCAGAACATGTTCGCTCCCTTCAAGCTATGTTAATGCCACTATAGACACTGGTTCTCTCATTATTTTAGTAATTAGGTCGCAATTAGATAAAGGAATGTGTCATTAAAAATGAGAAAGCTGCTGCTGTTGTTAAGGAAATTTGCGTTAACAACTTAAAAATCATTAAATAGACAAGGTGCTCCATTAGGCAGCTCAAAAAAAAGATGTACCATAACCATTGCTTGGTAAATTTAAATTATAATAACCTATCTTATTTCCCTACACTTGTGCGACAGTTTAGCATTGTGTTAATTCAGTACAAGCCTTAGTATTTAATATCTCACCTGGAATGGTTGAGATCACTTTCAGCACTTGGAAGTGCTTCCAACCCTATGTAATACTGAGACATGACCCAGTTTGACAAATTCAGTCATAAATCTGTAGCATGCAAGAGGACTGGGAGGACAACAATAGAACCCCATCAACAGCTGCAGCAGTAGCGCAGGAAGCTGAGAGGGAGTGAGAAGCAGGCCAAAGGCCCCACTGGTAGTTTGCAGCTAACTCAGGACAAATTCTTACCTGGGATTACTGAAATGGTTTTCAAAGCTCTCAATACTCTGAATGTTCGAAGAGCTGAAACATTACCTAGGTGTACAAATGATGTGATGTACCTGTAGAATAAAACCACAGTTATTTGGAATAGCATCACAATTCACGTCAGTTTGTCTGACCTTCTCCCACTCTTGTTTGACGCTGTCACTGATGCCTACAGCACAGGAAAGGGCCCTTCAGCGCTATCGAGTCTGCCCCAGTCAGAAACAAGCACCTCACCATTCTAATCCCATTTTCCAGCACTCGGCCAAAGCTTTGTATACCTTGGCATCGCAAGTGCACATCTAAATATATTACAAAGTATTTAGTACACGGACAGGCCATTCAGCCCAACTGGTCTGTGCAGGTTAACGTATCACACAAATCTTCTCTTTATCCAACAACATCCATTCCTTTCCCCTCACGCTGTTGTCCAACCGCCCCCTGTTCTGCTCACCCTAACTATTTCTTGCGGTAGAGAATTCCACATTCTATCCATTCTCCGAAAGAGCATATCTCTCTGGCATTCCCTATTGGATTTACTAGTAACTTTTGTACATTGATGGCCCCGATTCTGGTCTCACACACAAGTGGAAATGCCTTCTTTCTGGGCTACATTTATGGGGGAAGATGGACTGCCCGTCCCACCCTGCCCCCTCACCCCGGAAGAAAGTCAATAGCCCTCTGTGCGATTAGAGTTGGGCAATAAATACAGGCCTGGCTAGCGATATCCACATTCCCAGGAATGAAGGAATGAATGAATGGATGGATGAATGCATAAAATAAAGCCAACTGGGGCTGCAGGAAGGATAAGTTGCTGAACAGTAAGACGGCCAAATCTGGAACCCCTGGATATCAAGAACCCTACAGCAGAGATAAGGCAGAAAATAAAGCTCATGTCTGATCCCGAGAGTTCAATCCTACAGAAAGCCACAAAGTGGAAGGCAAAATCAAAAAAGAAATTAGGAAAGCAAATTGAGAGTGCGAAAGAATATGCTATGTAACATTAAGGTGAAGTCAAAGGTGGAATTAGACAGCTGAATGGACCTCTCTAACCTCAAATAATGTTGATCTTACTTTGCGCACCTCCTGTGCAGTGTAACCTTGCATGGCTCACTCTGTCTAAGCACCCTATGATCAGCCTGTACTGCTCTCAAAACAAAACTTTTCACTGCACCTAGGCACATGTGACAACAACAAATCAAATCAAATCCAATTATCCATGCATTAACTGTATGAAGGTAACCAAGCAAAAATCAGGGCCTGTAATAACATGTGTATATGTGTAGAGATGGGAAGGTGTTGATATTATTCTTAATCAATACTTTGCATGTGTCTTCAGTAAAAATAGGGGACAGTGCAGATATTATAGTTATGGAGGAGTATGCAGTATTGATGTGGTAAATATAGGGAGAGAGGAAGTGTTAATGGGAGTAGCATTTGTGAAAATGAATAAATCACCAGGAGCAGATAAATGTACACTAGGCTGTTAAAAAGAAATTCCAGAGAGCAAATAGCAGATTACTGCATACAGGTATGGACCCTGAGGATTGGACATTGTAACATTGTACCTTTCTTTAAAAAGTGAGAGAGAGATTGAATAATCACAGATGAGTCTGTCTAACTACAGTAGTGGGCTAAGTATTGGAAGGAATCCCGACAAATAGGTTTAACTCTCACTTACAAAAGCACAGATTCACCAGGTGCAGTGAACATAGATTTGTTAAAGGAAACTCCAATCTAAGAAACTTGATTGAATTCCTTTGAGGAAGTAACAAGGAAGATTGATGAGGACCTAAGTTCAGGAAACCAAAGTGTGGGAAAAGTTTAGTAGCCATAAGAAATGATAAAGGCAAGAAATCACTGAGAGTAACCATCCAGGAGGGTGGCACATAAAGAAAGAAATAATGAGAGGTGGTCAGAATATCATCATAATCATGAGAGATTTTAATCTACACATCGACTGGAATAGTCAGATGGGCAAAGATAGCCAAGATGAAGAGCTTATAGAGTAATAGCAGGATAATTTCTTTAAAAAGTATGTTCTGGAGCCAGCCAGAGAGCATGCTACATTGGACGTGGCATTTGCAATGAGACAGGATTAATTAATAATCTTTTAGTGAAGGCATCTGTGGGTAGAAGTGATTATAATATGCTTGAATTTTATATTCAGCTGGAGGAAGAGTGGGAGTGGGTACGAGACTCTGTTTTAAAGATTTAAATGAGGGCAATTGTGAGTGCATGAAAGCATAAAGTGAATTAGCAAATTAGCAATAGGTCAGCAGAGATGCAGTGGCAGATATTTAAGGGGATATTTCAGAATGCACAGAACAGATACATTCCTAAAAGAAACAAAAATTCCAAGGGTCAGACCTAGCATCTGTGGTTAACTAGAAAAGTTAAATATAATGGTGCAAAGAGAGGTGGCAGGTCAGAAGGTTTAATAGAGTATTAAAAACAGCAAAGAATGTGCAAAAATTAATAAAGGGGAAAGAATTGAGGTGCAAGAGAAAGCTAGCCAGACATGTAAAAACAGAAAGTAAAAGTTTCTAACAATATTTTAAAAAGGGATAACAAAGTGATGTTGATCTTATAGAAAATCAGGTTGGAGAATTACTACTGGAAAATAAGGAAACACACTGTGAATTTAATAAATATTTTGCATCAGTCTGCACTGTGGACAATACAAGTAACATTTCATGAATGGTGATAAATGAGGAAATGGAAAGGAGGGAAATACTCAAGAAAACTATAATGGCCAGGTAAGAGGTACTCAGCAAATTGTTGGAACTGTGGCCTAAGACATTACCAGATCCCGAGGGACTTAATCCTTGAATCTCAACATCTTAACAATCTTGACAGATTGCTCACCGTGTCAAAGGGTTCAGATACGTGGGAGGAAGAGACACAAATTACAAGGTGAAGAATGAGAATGGGAACTCGAGAAATGTTTTCACCGGAGATAAATGGAGGAACAAGCACGAGTCATTCCCTCAAACAGTACAAATGGATCCAAGAGACAATTCATCTCTGGAAAGAATTAGCGTTGTGTGAATGTGATAACAAACTTAGTAAGTGAGATTGTTCAGTCAAACTGAGACAGGGCTTGTTAGGCTTCCTGTTCCATAAGAAGCTGACAATTGTGACCAGAACATATATCCCTCTCAAGACGATGTAAATGAATCACGATCAACAATGCTTGATAAAAAGTGAGATGGACACCAAATCTTTATTGCAGCTGATTATATATTCTTAAGGAGTAAAGACTGCAAGACTGCTGTGTTTTATTCATGTGCACCTAGTTATGTTGGCATTTAACAAACATCAAACCTTAATGAGAAAACTCATCATGTACTGCCTGAGTACAGGAAAGCACAGTATTTAAGGAAGGTTGGAAATGCTGGTGAAGCAGTTCAGAGTAGGTTTACCAGACCAATACCTGGAATGGATGGGTTGACTTATAGGGAAGGGTTGATCAGGTTAGGTTTGTATCCACTGGAGTTTCGAGGAATAAGTGGCCATTTACAGTCATACAGCATGGAAACAGACCCTTTGGCCCAACTCATCCATGCTGGCCAGCTATCCTAAACTGATCTAGTCCCATTTGCCAGCATTTGACCCATATCCCTCTCAACCCTTCCTATTCATGTACCCAACCAGATGCCTTTGAAATGTCATAATTGTACCCACTTCCATCGCTTCCTCCGGCAGCTCGTTCCATACATGCATCACTCTCTGCATGAAAATTTGCCTCATCAAAATGCAGCAATTTACCTAAGTTAAACTCCAACTGCCACTCCTCGACCATTTCCCCTCGGGTCCTTTTTAAATCTTTCCCCTCTCACCTTAAAGCTATGCTCTCCAGTTTTCGATTCCCCTATCCTGGGAAAAAGACCTTGTCTATTTACCGTACCCACGCCCCTCATGATTTTATAAACCTCTATAAGGTCACCGTTCAGCCTCTGACACTCCAGGGAAAATAGCCCCAGCCTATTCGCCCTCTCCCTACAGTTCAAACCCTCCAACCCTAACAACATCCTTGTAAATCTTTTCTGAACCCTTTCAAGTTTAACAACTTCCTTCCTATAGCAGGGAGACCAGAACTGAATGCAATATCCTACCAGTAGCCTCACCAATGTCCTGTACAGCTGCAACATGTCATCCCTACTCCTGTACTCAATGCACTGACCAATGAAGGCAAGCGTACCGAAGGCTTTCTTCACCGCCCTGTCTACCTGCAACTCCACTTTCAAGGAACTATGCAGCTATGCCCCTGGGTGTCTTTGTTCAGCAACAGTCCCCAGGATCTTTTTATTAATTGTATAGGTCCTCCCCTGATTTGTCTTATCAAAATGCAGCAATTTATCTAAATTAAACTCCATCTGCCACTCCTAGGCCACTGGCCCATCTGATCATGATCCCATTGTTACTCTGAGGTAACCTTCTTCACTGTCCACTACACCATCAACTTTGGTGTCATCTGCAAACTTACTAACCATACTTCCTATATTCACATCCAAATCATTTATGTAAATAACAAAAAGCGGTGGACCCAGCACTGAACCTTGTGGCACACCGCTAGTCACAGGCCTCCAGTCCGTAAAACAACTGTCCACTACCACTTCTTGTCTACTACCTTCAAGCCAATTTTGTATCCAATTGGTTAGCTCCCCCCAGATCCCACGTGATCTTACCTTGCTAACCAATCTCCCATGTGGTTGACTGAAACATATAAGGCCCTGAGAGGTCTTGACAGAGCAGGAACATCTAGAAATAGGGGCCAATATTTAAAACTAAAAGATTACCCATTTTAGACAGGGATGAGGAGAAAGGGGTGTGTATCTTTGGAATTTTCTTCCTCAAAAGCAGTGAAATCAGAGTCTGAATATTGTTAAGGCTTGTATTGATAGATTCTTGGGAAGCAAATGGACGGACAGGAATATGCATTTGAGATTGCAATCAGATCAGCCACGACCTTACTAAATAAGAGAAACTCTATATTTATGTTTGCATGTCATAGAACATCCAAACAACTTTAGCCAGCAAGGACTGATGGTCAGCTTATCTTCAAATAAAAAGTCAAGCTATAAATATCAGAACCCTTAGAGCCCATGTGAGATATTGGGGAACTTCTTGATGGTCTTAACACCACTTTCAGTTCGAAACAATAAGCAACTTATTTATTGATCCTGTGGATTACCTTCTGTTATGAATCCTGCAGAACATTATGTTGCATCCTGGCTATTGACCCTGTTGTGTCTGTTATTTCCCCTTTTGGTTTAGCTTTAAATCAATATTATATATAAACAAACCAGCAGCTGCCTCAGGCTGTTTGAGACTGAACCAATGATGGGAAAAGAGCATCGAGGTCTCTCTGATGGCTAATATTCTTGATCGGGTAGAGGAATTAAGTTATCCAGTGCAATAAAACACGCTCCATTATGTTTCAAAACGTGGTTAACTTGTAACTGTTTATAAACGCAAATTTATAATCCTTGCTTCAAACTGCTTCATACTGGCAAGATTAAATTCAACTTTTAGTTAATAGGTTATTTTTATCTTTTCCAAATACTCTCCTATGTCACACTCCTGCGTATCATAGAACATGGAACTGTACAGCATGGGAACGGGCCCTTTGGCCCATAATGTTGTGCTGAACATGAAGCCAAATGAAAATAATCCCTTCTGCCTGCCCTTGGTCCATATCCCTCTACTCCTTGCATATTCATGTGCTTCTATAAAAGTCCCTTAAATGCCTCTATCGTATCTGCCTCCACCACCAGCCCTAGCAGTGCGTTCCGGATCCCTACCAACTCTCTGTGTAAAAAAGACTTGCCCCTCACATCTCCTTTGAACTTTCCCTCCTCACCTTAAATAAATGCCCCCTAGTATTAGACATCTTAATCTTGGGAAAAAGATTCTGACCGTCAACTCTATCAATGCCTCTCATAATGTCATAGACTACGATCAAGTCTCCCCTCAGCCTCCCCCCCATTCCAGAGAAAACAACGCCGGTTTTTCTAGCCTTTCCTTATAGCTCATACTCAATATCCCACTGGGACTGGAAGAAATATGACACTTAATGCGACTGTGACTCTTAATGGTACAACCAGGAAATGTTCTCTCCAACAATGAAACTGGACCATGACCAGGAGCAGGAATTCCAGTTGATTTTCTTCACTGTATTCCTAACACAGGGCAGGACAGCCAATGACATGCTTACTGGGATCAATTCTCTGCGCTCCCCCCCACCCCGGCATACGGATCTGAGAATTTCCTTGGACTGTGCACCTCAGTACCACACACTACCTGCTATACTTAAGCTGCTAAACTGTAAAAGAATGTCCATGTATATTATTGAAACTGATGCACAAACGTGCTTCCCTTCCTCCCAATATCTATAAATAGCAAAAGATGGCAAAAGGAGCCTGGTTAATTAGCGACAAAAAAGGTAGATTTACACATGGATGCAGGAGACTAAGCTGAGGTATTAATACTTTACATCTATCTTTACCAAGGAAGCAGAGGCAATAATGAAATCATGAGGGATATAGACAGGGTTAAGGGTAGGTGTCTTTTCCCTAGGATGGAGGGGTTCAAGACTAGGGGTCACATTTTTAAGGTGAGAGGAGAGAGATTTAAAAAAAGACATGGGGGCAATTTTTTTACACAGAGGGTGGTTTGCATGTGGAATAAACTTCCTGGGAAAATGATGGAGCTGAACATAGTTAAAAGACATTTGGATAAGTACACGAATACGAAAGGTTTGGATGGGTGTGGGCTGGGAGCAGGCAGGTGGGACTAGTTTAGTTTGGGATTATGTTCGCTGTGTACTGTTTCCTTGCTGTATGACCCTATGACTCTATGATAAGCCCAGCGGTTACAGACCAGTCAGTTTAATTTCAGAGGTAGGGAAACTTCTAGAAACAGTTATTCAGGATAGCGTGAATAGTCATGTGGACAAATGTGGGTTAATTAAGGACAGTCAGTATGAATTTCCCGAGGGAGAATCATGTTTAATTAACTTGCTGGAGTTCTTTGAAGAGGTAACACATGGTGTTATGTGGTGTGCGTGGACTTTCTAAAGGCATTCAATATGGAGCTATACAACAGATGTGTGGCAAAAGCTATAACTCAAGGAACAGAAGAAACAGTAGCAATGTGGATGTAGAACTGGCTGAGTGATAAGAAACAGGTAGCAAGGGGTAATGGATATTTTTCAGCCTGCAGGAAGTTTGTAATGTAGCTGGTATTGGGACCATTGCTCTTCCTGGTTTTTATTCATGAATTTGGAGCTCAGGGCACAATTTCAAAGTTGGCAGACTATACAAAACTTGGAAAATTGTCAACTGTGAAGTGCAAAACATAGAATTTCAAATAAACATGAACAAGTTGGTGGAATGGACAGAAAAGCGGTAGACAGAGATCACTGCAGAGAAATGTACATTTCAGTCAAAGGAACATGGGGAGACAGTATAAAACAAAAGGTACTATTCTAAAGAGTGGCAGGAGCCGAGAGACCTTGGTGCATATGAGCATGAATGATTAAAAGTAGTAGGACAGGTAAAATGAACAGCTAATTAAGCACATGGTATCCTATGCTTTGTTAATCAGGTCATATAGCATAACAGCAAGGAGGTTATGCTGTATCTCTATAAGATACTTGCTAGACCTTAGCTGGAGTATAGTCTACAGTTCAGGACACCACACTAAAGGGAGGGTGTGAACATCTTGGAGACAGGTGCAGAAGAGGTTTACAAGAATAGTTCCAAGGGAGGACTCTTCAGTGATGAGGATAGGTCGGAGAATTTGGGACTGGTTTCCTTGAAGAGGAGAAGGCGAGGGTGAAATTTCAAAATCAGGAGAGGTTTGGACTGAGTAGACAGAGAAAAAAGAACACTCCCAGTTATAAAAGAATCAAAAGCAAGAGGGCACAGATTTAAAGTGGTTGCAAAAAGAGGTAAATCCGAGGTGAGAAATACCCATGGACTGGAAACTGGGGGCAGATACTGCTTTAAACCAAGGAAACCTTGGAAGAAACAGCTACAGTTTTAATAAAGAGTTACTGGAACTCAGTGTGAGTTGTATCTACAATGTTGCTTTGTTCAAGCAGTTAGAGGAAACTAGACCCATCGGTACCATGCTTAGAGAAAGTCTTTTGATTGGTTTTTCCATCAGGACCATCTGCTATGGGCTCAGGAGGGCTCACCGTAGTAACAACCACTTCTTTGGTTTCTGAGCAAGTGGCAACAGCCATACAGATAGACAATAGAAAAGAAAGTTCTAGCTTCAAAGAGAAAACAGGTCAATCTCTCTCTCTCTCTTTCTCCTGTGTGAAAATGTAATAGAAAATCTCCCAGTAGCTGTTCTCACTCACTATTTTGCTGCAAACTTCTTTCTCTGCTACTTCCCTTGTTGAAAGGAAAACGGGCATAAAAATCATCTTCGGAAAATCTGAAACAGTGAATCCTCAACCAGTGAAGACTAAGAATCAAATTACCCACAAACTTGCGCCCTTGGTTAAGGGTCAAAAGCTGTCGAGAGAAACTTAAAGTAAACAACTGATCAATGTCTGTGATCTGAATGGTTTTTTTAACAGAATCCCTACAGTGTAGAAACAGGCCATTCAGCCCATCAAGCCAACACTGACCCTCCCAAGAGCATCCCACCCAAACCCATCCCCCTACCCTATATTTCCCATGGCTAACCCACCGAGCCTGCGCACCCCTGAACACTATGGGACAATTTAGTATAGCCAGTTCACTTAGCCTGCACATCTTTGGACTGTGGGAGGAAACCGGAGCAAACCCGTACAGACACAGGGAGAATGCAAACTCCACACAGGCAGTAACCCGAGGGTAGAATTGCACCCAGGTCCCTGATGCTGTGAGGCAGCAGTGCTAACCACTGAGCCACCATACTGCCAGAAAACTGCTTCCCTGATCTTTTCTCTTTATTGCATAGAGGTAAAATACTGTGGATGCTACGATTCGACTCAGGTGGAAAATGCTGGAGAAGCTCAGTAGGTCTGGCAGCACCTGTAGGGAGAGAAACAGAATTAACGTTTTGAGTCCAGTACGGACTCATTCAGAACTGAAAAAGTTTGAGGCATTCTTCAAACGCTATCTCTGCTTGATTCCCACAGATGCTGCCAGACCTGCTGAGATTCTCCAGCAGATCTCCAGCACCCCAGTTCTTCGTTTTATTTTATCCATGACTAACATCTAACATTCTGCTGGACCATCAACAAAGAAGCAATACAAAGTGATTTAAAATGACGCAGAGAAACTTCTGGAAGTTGGGGCGGGGTATGAGGTGGGTTAAGGAAAAAACAGCAAAAATCAGCCATGCACGAGAGGAAGCAACGACAGAACAGACAAAAACCATTAAATACAACAACGGTCTGGAGATTCCATTCAGAAACAGTGCAAGTGGAAGGGGGAGAAAGATGAGGAAATTGTCGCAGAATTTATTTTATTACTTACGCCATTAAAATAACACTGAAATCCAACCAATTCCATGGATCTCGAAGGAAGGTGAACTCATCAATGCAGAATCCTCTTGCCAATATTTTTATCATTGATTCAAAAGTGTAAATGCCAGTGAAAGTGTACCTGGTTAAAGCATTTGGAAATGAACAACATTAGCAAGCGATGAAGGGAGTCCTGTTGCATTTCGGCTCAGGCACAACATGAGCCACCTTGTGCGGTACCTCAGGATAGAAGATGGCAGACAGCAAGGTGGAGAAGCAGTGAGATTGTCAGCCTTAACAATGAACGCAAGCTTCAAAACACTTTCTCGATGAATTGGTGGCCGTCAAGTCAGGGATGGACAATATTTTGCAAGTCACTTTATACGAAAGAGTGCATCTTCGGACAAGTCAATGAAGAGGGATGAGAATATGAAGCATTCAGTATTATTCTCGCCAGTATCAGTGATTGTAGACCATATCTCTCAACTATCTCAACCAAGGTTCACTTTCTGATCATTTTCCCCGTCATTGTATTTGCTCTGTTAGACTTTAGTTCAGAAAATTGTACGCACAGTGTTACTGTGAAAGAATTGCCCATTCTGTCTGCTTAATTAATCTATCACATCCTGTCAAAAACCAACCACATAGACAAGAACACTAGAACTTTGAAGGAAACGGAGAGAAGATCGTACCTGATCAATAAGCATCTCCCTTATGATAAAATCGTGCCCTATCACCCTGATTGCAATCGTCCATCTCACATTCTCCAGAAGTCTATTTGACTTTTTAAAAACTGTTTCCTATTGAATTAGATCATAGAATCCGTACAGTGAAGAAGCAGGCCATTTGGCCTATCGAGTCCATACCAACCCCCCAAAGAGCATCCCATCCAGACCCAAGCTCCTACCCTATCCCCAAACCCTACATTTACCATGGCTAATCTCTCTAGCCTACACATCCCTGAACACTATGGGCAATTTAACATGGCCAACCCACCTACCCTGCACATCTTCGGACTGCGGGAGGAAAGCGGAGCACCTGGAGGAAACCCCCGCAGGCAACCTGCAAACTTCACACACACACACAGTTACCTGAGGGTGGAATCACACCCAGGTCCTTGGTGCTGTGAGACAGCAATGCTAACCACTGAGCCATCATGCCGTAATAGGTAACTCTATTACCCTTTGTGTTGCTAGATAATTCTTCTCCATCTTAATTTGTACATCTGTGATGGAACTGACTAATTGTGTCATTCCAAATCACAAGAAATTAAAACAATTCTTGCACATAACACGGGGCCTAAGTGGGGCCTGTTCTCCCAAACCAAACTTCTCTTGGACCTACAAAAAGCAGTTGAGCCAAAAGCATATCTGAGGCTGGGGCAGTGGCTAAGTAGTGCTGAGGTTATAGTAGGCCCAAGGCTTGACGCCTAGGGACAGGAGGAGATTGTTCAACCATTCGAGCCTGTTCTGCCCTGATCTGCATCCTAACTCACCTTGGTAAGAGTAGATAATAAAGTATCAATCAATTTCAGATTTGAAAGTTCATATTGACATCAAGCCTCAACATTTCAGTCCTTCTGTCAGGCACAGGTAGGCCATGTTTTTTTTACAACTGAGGATATAAGCCCCATGTCCAGAATTGATGCAGAGACTACGAAGCAGTATCAATGAATATGTATCACAGATCTTTTGCAATGGTGACCATTTTACCACCACTAAAGCACTCCAGAGAATGTAGGCAATGTTAAAAACAATGTTCAAATAATCTCCCGGTCAGGAAGTGCCTTATCTTCCCTGGGTAGTACATTTTAGTGACCGACAATGGAAAAGCTTTTAGTTGTTTGGTTTGGGTCCCTGCTTCACGCTGACAGCTCTCGCCAAACTATGTCAGAAAAGTTGGCAACATAAATATATGTCAGCCCGTCAGTAAATTTGGAACCACCGTGTTTAAAATGAGAGCATGAATCTTATGTAGGAACTGTGCATTGCTCAACAAACTGATTGCTTTCCTAAAGACACTCTTTAATATGCTCTGCCTTATTTAGTGGAATAAGATAATCATTAGCAGGCAAATTCTAAGGGACAGGAAAGAGCTAAGCCCGTCCTTCTCTCTAAGTCTGAATCAGAACTTAAGGTTCAGTAGCAGGAATAGGCCATTCAGCCACTTTGAGCCTGCTCCACCATTCAATGAGACCCTGATCGGCCTTCTATTCCAGTACCAGCCCTATCCCCATGTCCTTCATTGGTTATAATCTGTAGAAAATATCAATCTTAGTTTCCAAATAAAGAGTATGCTATAGCTTCTGGGACAGAGAATCCCAACGGTTCACGATCCTCTGAGTGAAGAAATTCTACCTCATCTCAGTCCTAAAAGGCTGTATCAGTGTTAGAATCAGAGTTGTTACAGTGCAGGAGGAGGCCATTCAGCCTATTGTCCCATACTGGCTCTATTACCTAGTGTCAATCGCCTGGCTTTGCCCATATCCCTGTACTCCATTTCTATCCAAATAATTATCCAACCCTCTCTCAACTGAACCTGCCTCCACCACATTTCCAGGCAGCACATTCCAGACATTAACTAATCGCTGTGTGAAAAATTCTTTCTTTTTGTCTCACATCACCCTTACTTCGTTGGCACATCACTTTAAACGAATGAAAACCGACGCTGGGTAAAATCTGTCTCAAGCCTCCGTTGTGTGAATGGGTCTCTCTCAGGCACTTCTGACCCATCTCCAGTCCTTGTTCCCTTGTGCATATCACACTCTGAAGGTCTCAAGTTGAGAGGTATGTTCTGATCTCTCGTTTTAAGGATGGGAAATGACTCCCAGGGTTCATTTCATGCTAAGTATCAATGAACCCCTGCTTTTGATAGAAACATCATTTTCCAAAACTCCTTTGGAGGTAAGCAATTAGATCATCGATCAAGCCTCTTCATTAAAGGAAGAAAGAGTCATTTGCAACTGTTCAACTTTCAAACCCCTTTTAAATCAGTTACCATTGTTTAGCAAAGTGGAATTGATAGAATTCATTGAACTGTTGCTTTGATGAAGTGATGACAGTAATGTCAACAGCGTAATGTAGAATTATAGAGAGCTTCAGTCTCATTGGTAACTATTTAAGGTCTTGTTCAATTCCTTTAATGAAAATTCAGGCAGGGAGCAAACCATCTTTGATAATGAAATACAACTTTGGTCGCATCATGATTTCAGTTCGATGCAGCATGAGTGTATGTTGCTAGCAAATTATGAACTTTGGTATACTTAAAAATATAAACTTACTTGCCAGCTAGGAGTCACAAGTCAAAGATAGACCTGGTAAAGCATTTCATTGGGACAGATAAGGGCACAGTTCAAAGGTCAATATTATTTAAGGAATTTTGGGCAGTAGCAAAAGAGAAAGAGCACAGTCTTTAAAAGGTTTGTTCACAAATTGTTTAGAAAACAAATTAGCGAGGAACATGGCTTCATACTCACTCAACATTCTTTGTCCATGGGGCAGGGTCAGACATGGTCATGAACACACAATTGGTCAAAATAGTACACATAATGAATATATTGAACAATGTGGAATTTGAGTTAAGGAGAAAGTTTATAACACTCAATCTTGCTTTCCAATGCGTTTCTTTTAAATAAGAAAGTAGTGAGATTCATTATAATTTTTCATCTGTTGAATTAGTGATACCAACTGGCAACCTTACAGAGTTATATTATGGGCCTCTCCCACCTGCTGAACATTGTCCAATTAGGGTTAGAATATTTTCCTCATCAACCTGTTCAGTGATGTTATTGCATACCTTTGGAGCAGATGGGACTTGAACCTGGGTCTTGTGGCTCAGAGGTAGGGATACTACCACCACACCACAAGAGCCCTTTGGGATATGGGACAATGGTCAGGTCTCCCAGCCTTCACTGGTGTGCGTGCTCGTATACATACACACACACACACACACACACACACACTCGCATATATATATAAAACACACACACACACACACACACTCGCATATATATATAAAACACACACACACACACTCGCATACTTATATAAAACACACACACACTCGCATTTATATATATATATAAAACACATACACAGACACTCGCATATATATATATAAAACACACACACTCGCATACGTATATAAAACACACACACGCTCGCATTTTTATATATATATATATATAAAACACACACATTCCCATTGCCTTCATTTATAGAATCGCAAAATCTTGTGCTCTTCGAAACAGTTGTGCAGTTAGTCCCATTCTCCTGGCTATTTTCCTTTAGCCCGGCTACTTTACTGTTTCAAAATCTATTCAATTTTCACCCATGTCGGCTTCTTTCACCAATTATCTTACAGACGTGTCCTATGCTTATTGACCTCTTCGTCATTAGAAACAATTTCTCATTCTTTTTTCTAAAGTCCCTTGTGACATTGAACAATTCAATCTTCCCCCATGTGCCTTTGCACATGGAGGTCAAAGCTAGCTTTCCTCATTTCTCCACAAAACTGAGGTCCTCTCTGCTTGGTCCCTTTGCAATAAAGTTCCTCTGCACGGTGTTCTCTGTTTTTCAGGTAGATGTTTGTTGGATGTTTTTAAAAGAAAGAATGGCTTGAATTTATTTAGCACTTTGCACCGATCACCTCCAAGTGCTTTAAGGCCGGCAGTAAAGTACAAACGAGACAAGCCCATGGTTGACGGGATGTGGGAAAGGAACTGGGGGGGAAAGACTGGAAGAAAAATAGACATTGTATAAACATGTGAAAGAGGAATAAATGTAGGCCGCTTGGCTTTTTGACTCTGCTCCATCGTTCAATAAGATCAGGGCATTTTAACCTCAACTCCACATTCCTGCATAACATCCAATAATCTTTCATCCTCAAACATTTATTCAATATTGAAGGTGTGTACAGCAGTGGTGGTGTCTCTACACCTTGGCCAGGGGCTCTGTAAGGTGAGTCCCTCTTTGAGATTTGATGGCTTTGGAAGATGTGTCTAAGTGCAGCCAAAGGAGGGGAGCAGTCAATCTGCTCCTAATACACATATGGAAGGGGGTCCCCTGCTCAGTCAGGACAGGGTGGTAAATGCAATGCTACAAAGTCACCCCTCTCCACCTACCCCACTCCCATGTTAAAAAAACTTCACTCGAAAATTCCTGGTGTGTGTAATTGTCACTCCTGGTGGAGCTGATACCAGTCGTAGATCTTACCGAGCCTTCCTCACAGACAGTGCCAGGGTCACCATGTGACAAGGCTCAGATCACCAATCAGCTCCTGACCTCTTCCAGTTCCCGGGGGCTTGAGCAATTCAGAACATCACCTCAAACCAATGCTCACCGAGTTGGAGCTGTTCTCTGGCTCTCAAAGACACCCTCGCAGTGATTGGCAAGCTCTTCAGATGACATGGAAACTTGTGACAGTGACAATGTGTGATGTGATCCAGGGAGGCGACGGAGGTGCTGAAACTGGCTTTGTGCTAATAACTAACCGACACACACAGGCTGCATAGTCAATGCTATACCCTCCCAATAACCTCCCCCCGTACCCTCCCTCTACCCTACCTGAGCCCTCCCCATACCCTCCCTGTCCCCTCCCTGTACCCTCCCCATACTATCCCTGTCCCCTCCCTGTCCCCTCCCCCTATTATCCCTATCCCCTCCCTATCCCCTCCCCGTTCCCTCCCCATATTATCCCTATCCCCTCCCTGTCCTCTCCCCGTACCTTTCCCGTACTCTCCCTGTATCCTCCCCATACTATCCCTATCCTCTCCCTGTCCCCTCCCTGTCCCCTCCCCGTACCCTCCCCATATTATCCCTATCCCCTCCCTGTCCCCTCCCCATACCCTCTCCATACTATCCTTATCCCCTCCCTGTACCTTCCCTGTACCTTCCCTATCCCTTCCATGTACACTCCCCATGTTCTCCCTATCCCCCCACTCACATACCCTCCGTGCAGAGAAATAGCTGGGAAGCAAATCACATAAAACTGACTCTTTTTCTCTCCATTCTCACTGACCCCTTACTCTCTCTCTCCATTTCCACTGACACCTCTCTCTCTCTCCATTCCCACTGACCCCTCTCTCTGTCTCCATTCCCACTGACCCCTCTCTCCATTCTCATTGATCCCCACCCCTTCTCCATTCCCACTGACCCCCACCCCTTCTCTATTCCCACTGACCCCCCTCT